TGCTCAAGTGAGATCTCAGAACCTGTCTCAGGCAAGCGGTCCAGAATCTGGACTGAGTATTAGATGGCAGCCTAAAGGTCAGAACCGTCCTCAGACCTCGGCAGATCTTTTTTCTTGTTTGCTTCTAGGATATTTTTAGAGAGCAGATCTCTCTGCGGGCATGATCTTGCCTCAGAGAGGCTGAGCTTTCCTGACCGACTCATCCACATCACCTGCAGGCCCACTGAGGGATGCAGGCTGGTTTAAAGCACTTCTCCAGCACCCTTGGAGCCACAACTGATGAGTGAGTCATGCAAAGACGTCACTGTGAGTATATTTCTTGCGCTGCTGCTTCATGAAATGCAAAAGCACCCAAGAAAATCATGAGTTCAAACACCCAAACTGGGTCCAGACCCCATTTCTTCCAGTACTTCTGCATTTCTACTTCCCAACAGGATCAACTTCTCTCCTAATGACAAACTAAAGACTGGCTGCACCAAGTGAAAGCAGAGGTCGACCTTGCCCAACACACTCCAAGGTACCAACAACAGACACCTTTGGAAGAAGACAAAAACAAGGCAAGGATATTACAACAGACCCCAGAGAAGTCCATCATCTCCCAGGCCATTTGTGACTTGGGGACTTCCTGAACTCAAAGGGGTGTCTGCATATTTAAAACACCTTCCATGGATTTGTCCAATCCTTTTGGAGCCTATGCAAATTTCAGCAACAACATCCTGGGGCAAAGATTTCACATCTTTAATAAAGTCCATAACAAAAAGACCTTATTTGTTCTGAGCTTCCTATCTCACATTTTACTTTACCACAAAACCTCATCAGACCCAGCTGAAAAAGAAAGATGATCCAAGTTCTTTCAGTTATGATTTAAAACAAATAACCTTGCTTACAAGATCAGAGACCCAATGGTCCAAAGCAATTTTATAGACAAACCCTTTCCCCCTAATAGAGAACTTGTTCCCACAGGTTGAAGTAGAAAACGGGGGAGCTGGGACCCGTGCTCCTGAGACGCCCTCATACGTGTTGAACTAGACAGAGGACTAGCTGTGCCTGAGGTGGTAGGCACAAGACATCATCCTCCTCCTCCTCTCTTTCTGTTTCAGGTTTCAGCGAGGGTGGTAGCCTGAATCTAGACAGGCTGTTGAAATCCTTCCTTGTGCACTCTAAAGATCTCCAGCACCATCCAACTTAAGCCAAGACACTTGGCTACACATACTGCAAATGCAAGTCTTTCCAGGACTTCTGTCCTACGGTTTAAAAAATAATCTCCTTTAGAAAGCACGTTCATGGCCTTAGCTTGCATCTCAGAGAAATCTGGGGTTTGGAGCCAGAAGGGTTTCCTAGAGATCCCACTATGTTCAAAGCCCTAGCAGCTGCACCTGACAAATCACAGCCAGCTCGAGAGCACTTCTCTCAATCACTGAACTAAAAAAACAAACCAAAAAACCCCCAAACACTCCGTGTTTTCTTCCTCAGGAAAACAGCCCATGTTTGTCAATCCCAGTTGTAAGTGGAAAGAAAAAAGACGGGATCCTCCTTTGAAGCAGAGAAACTCACACTGCTTCACCTTTTGCGCCTCTTAAAACCAAGTACTTTAATATGCAGAACTGGGGTGCCAGCCTCTCCCTCTCCTCCCTTATCCCTGAAGTCTTACTCCCGGGTTTCCTCCTCACACATTTTCATTTTGATTTTGCAACTTCCGTGTTACAAAGCTGAGAGGAGGTTTTGGACACAGCAAGGAAAGAAAACAAAATCAAACCAAAACCAGGAGAGCAAGTGGAAATGCCGAGATGGAAAAATGAGCCTTGGGAATTCTGTTTTATGACATGGGAAACCATTTCATCTCCAGCCCAACCAAACTCCCATTTTTCTTCCTGCTAACGGACACACGAGGCACGTTGCTTCTGAGCCAAGATGCACTCACAACAGCTACCTTGGTAGACTTGGAAACTGCAGTTCACGGATTTGGACTGAAGAGAACATTATGATAATCTAATTTGACCTCATCTGTACTGCAGGCACAGCGCTTCCTCTCCTAATTCCTACAGCATGTGCATGCTTTCTGTCTGGACTAAAATGTAGTTTTCAAAAAGCATCTATCCTAATTTAAAGGCCTTAAGTGGTGGCAAATCTAACACGCACTTAGGCTTGTGGCCCCAGGGTTACCTACAAGATAACCTTCATGCACAACCCATTTAGCAGTCTGTACTCCCTTGTCCTTAGAAGCAGAGGATGATCCATCCCTGAAGCCCAGATCCAAACTGAGCTTGCCACTGGATTCTCAAAGACTGGCTAAAAATCATTCCCAGAAACCCAGTACTTTGATGTTGAGGAATCAAGACAGGATGACTTAGTGGTGCCTGCTCGCTCCTCTCTAAATCCTAAGTGTTCCCAAGCTTCTCTGGACAGGCAGGAGGAAAGGGGAATGTCTCCTCCTGCCACATCCTAGAAAACTCAGAAGATGGAACACAGACAAAGCCATTTCCTCAGTCTCAGTCCTCCAAGGAAATGCTTTAAAAATCCACCCTTAACAATTCCTTTTCACACTGTTCCAGAATTCCAGAAGTAATACTGGCCCAAACGGCTTGGAAAATATCTTCTTAATCAGGATAACGTGACTGAAGCTTCACTACATCTCACTTGAAGATGAAGACCACAGAATCAGGTGCCAAGAGTACCTCTAAAGAAGGGATCCTAGGAGACCTCTGAAAGCTAGGAGGCCCTTGAGTATCAGGAACTTACACCAAAAGAACCTGTGTATCAAAATCATGCTCTCCAGAAGTCACATCTGAGCCCATCATTCTCAGCCTTACCAACCGGAGTGGTACATTCAGAGCTCAGAACCCCAGTGCTGATGGCGATGGAGGCTTCCCTCTGAATCACACCTTCCCCCTGATCCTGCTCATCATCCATACAGAGCTACCAATTGGAAAGCAAGCATGTCTCAGGCAACAGCTCTCCTGGCCTTTGGTGAATTATTTGAGGCTTAGCCTGGAAACTGGTTAAAGGCCAGGTACGGCGGTTGATACAAGAGCTCTGTGGAGTCTCTCCTCAGCTGAAGCGTCCAGATGAGTCAGGAAACTGCCCCAAACACAGAGGTTCAATCTGCCCAGCCCTTGAAACTCCCCAGAGCCAAGAGGCCACCTGCATCAGCCTCATGCAGGCCGTGAGCCCCGGATGTGTCCAGGATGCTGGCTCTTCAGCAATGAATCGCACCGAGCTATGCAGAACTCCCTTCTGCCCAGGCCCCAAGAAAACAATCTGACACAACCAGCTCTTGCCAGTCTTCTGACGTCAGGACAGCTTTCAGCACATGACCATTAAACTAGAGGAAGACAGCAGCATGACACCCCAAAAGAACTGGAAAGTACTTCTCAAAGTAGAGCAACTGCTACCACTTGTAAACAGAGTGCTACATGACATGCTTCTGCTTCAAATCAGCAGAGGTACAGGAAGGTTAACAGGAGATTACGCCCAAGACACTTTGTTTTCCTACCAAATACATCCACCAGCAGCATAGGAGCACATGCAAGTCAAACTAACAATCTGCAGACTACAGAGACACATGGACACCACCACCTTTGGCGTCAGTGGTGGTGTCCTTCAGTGACACCATGTAAAAGCTCCTGGGGACACAACAGAGTTTGCTTGTTTCTTACAGAAAACAAAACCACACAAAGCCAACGACTAGCAAACATGGGGGCTATGTGAGCACATCTGCTATTGCCACTTACTCTTAGGGCTGAACGGAAAAACAAAGGAGCCCCACTCTGCAGTCATCGTCATGTACAACGACATGCAGATTTGACTTTAGAAGCTGAACAAAGGTACTGAGCAAATGTTTGTTCCAAACTTTCTGCCCAGAAGTTTCAACACGGCAAACCCAGTTACGAAACTCCATTTCACCAGGCAGTTAATGTCCCCTAACATCACAGCACCTTTTTGCAATCTTCTTTCAGAAGCAAATTAAGACCAAAGCCTTCATCCCTTACACTCTGCAGTTCTCTCCACATCCACGATGCTACGTCCTGGCCAGATTACCACCCAGCAAACTGTGTTCTGCCCCCACTGGCCAGGCAGGGAGGTCCCAACAGGTACAGAATCCAACACTTCCTTCCCCAAACAGCAAACCCCATGGACAACACCACTGAACAACAGTGAAACAGTCACAATTTCCTGTCCCAGAAGTGACCACATACAGCATTCAGGTACAATGATCCCCTTCAGGTCCTAATCCCATTAGAAATCTTGGGATCCTTCAGTCTAATACTGAGAATGGCCTTGGGGATGCTCACAACCGCCTATGCAGCTGAAAGGCCAAGACTGAGACCCCTTCTATCCTCCAATTCTGTCCCGACTCACGGTTTGCACACCTGGCTGTCATGGATCATGGCACAAGTGACTTCCATCCACAGAAGCCCACCCTCCCCTAAGCCATCAGCTGGCCCAGAAGAACCAGACCAACACAAGGTCCAGCCAGAGCATCAAACTTTCTCCAAACATCCAAAACTAACATCACCACTTGCCCAAGACTCAGCACAAGTTTCAGGTCCAAAAGGCTTACTTTTAATAAAGGATAACTGAAACATCAATCACAAGGTTTCAAGTTAGAAACAGGCCAAAACTTCACAGATTTGATGCTGCAGCTGCTCTGTTAGGAGTGTCTACAAGCCTGTCTCCAGTGTTTGAACAAAGCGTAAATCTGGGGGCCACAGGAGGCCTCTGGGTAGGGAAAAACTGGAAAACCATTTCCCTTAGCCCAGGTTCTGCCGACTCCAGGAACAAGCACAAATTCTTTGCTTCAAATCACCACAGGGCAGGAGTCACTGGTTGTTGCCCAAACAAAGACATGACAGCATCCAGTGTCTGTAACTGACCTTCAATCTACTTAACCCCATGCAAAAGACTCACAAGCTCCTAATCCCGCCTCCACAGAGGTTCAGGAAACTCCTTTCTGCCCCAGAACGTAACAGCTTTGATCCAACAGCACTCAAGAGACTTACCTTCCCAAACTGCTCAAAATACTGTTTCACATCCTCCACAGTAGTGTTCACGGACAGACCACCCACAAATATCTTCTTCGTTCGGGTCACCATCTGGAAAAGGGAAGGACAGGAATTCACCGATTAAACCCAGAGCGAGCAGAGAACAAGATTCAAAAGGCCACTAACCCCCCCTGCACTGACAGGAAGTGCCTGCCCTGTTACTGCAGCTGAGCATCCACCTTCTTGAAGCCCTCTGGCCAAACACGGCTGGCAGACCTGTCCCAAGTCAGAGCCCAACTCATGCTCTCACCCTCACACCATCCCATCGTGCTTGCCAGCGCCCAGCCACCTCCTCATCAGACAGCACGTTTCCAGCCTCTCTCCCCGCTAACCTGCTGCTGCTCCCTTGGCATCTTGACACCACCGCAAATGCAAGGGGCAGGACCGTCCACATGCCAGCCCTGCCACTTTGCCAGCCTCCTCCAGGCTCCCCCAGAGATTCCTGCTCTGCTTCCCATAGTGGAAGGACAGGCAGAAATCCTGCAGCACAGACAGGCTTCCCCAGGCTTTGCCCTTCCTAGCTCACAAATCACATAGCATCCAGTCTTGAATAAAATAAGCTTCATTTCACACCCATTCCCCAGTCACTTAAATGGAGGCTAGTCAACTCCCAGTTAAATCTCTTTTGCCTTTGCAAGAAGGTAGAGAGAAGATCCCTCTGCCACTTGTCACTCTTACAGCTGGGACAAGAACACTAACTACCCAGAGAGGGGCCACTGCTACCCGGCTGAGGCACACCAACATCCTTTGAACCAGCTCTCCAGCTGCATCCTCCCCTTAGCTGCTTGGCTACACCCCTGCTCTCAGAGGAACACATGGTCCTAATTACCCCAAGGAGCATAGGGCTAATCCGCAGCAATTCCCTGGCTTGGAGACCAGCCCGTTCTAACACTAAAGCACCTTCTGTCACCAAACTGCTTAATGGAATTAACCCAATTCCTACCATGTGCTTCCTGGCTCCAGTTACTTGGGATACCTGCTCACCAATTGTTCTCAGTGCCTGATCCCCCTTACTTCCCTCTCAGCATCAGTCTCCTCTTCCCTCTCTGCTTCTCAACACTGTTTGTCCCCAGTTCTTTCTCTCGTGACAGCGCCTGGAATAGAGACTCTAAACTTTAAAACTCCCATCCAAGGGCAAAGTTGAAGGGAGACCCAAAGCCTAAAGACAGTGTCCAGCCTGCTGCTAGCTCCTCAGATAAAAGTTTCTAGCTGCACGCCTGGAAAAAGTTTCTGCAACTGCTCATTTCACTGCCAGAGCCTCCTGTAGATAAGGTCAAACACCAAACTCTTGCCTTTTCCAGTGCTGAAGCACACAAGGCCATTTCACAACATGAAATCCTCCTCCCTGTCCCTGCCATACACCTATTCATGCACATGTGCATACATATGACCCCCTTCCTGCTGTATCATACAGCATCACGGAGCTGTTCCGCATCTCTTAAGGTCTGAAACTTCCAGTCACTGGCTGCAACCTCAGAAGGATGAGGTCCACCCTGGGCAGCATTTATTTCATCAGCTCTAACTAGTGCATCCTAAAGTACAATAGAGGGGCCTCCTGGTTCCCCCAGTGCCGTGCAGACCCCCACTGGCATGCTGCAAGCCTGACAGGAGCACACCACAGCACAGGACACCGAACTGCTCCTGCTCCAGGTGGGTCCTGAGCAAACCCCAGGGAGCAATTCCATTGCATGCACTGGTAACCCTGCACAGAGGGACAAGATCTACCACCCTTTGGGGTGGCGAGGGCTGCCCGCAGTGCTTACCTTGGGCTGTGCTCGGCGGGGGAACGCTACCTTCGGGTCAATCTGAAAGAGATGATGGGAAGAACATGTGAACACGCTTTCACTGCCTATTTACAGGCGCAGGGTTCCCTCCAAGCACACGGCTGTCTCTACCCACGTGGCACCTTGCTAAAACCCCAGAGAATCTACCTGATGTGCATAAAATGAAGCTGGCTGCAGACATCTTTCCTTCGCGGTAAGGTATAATCCAGGGAGACTACAAGTCCCAGCATGCAGCGGTCTGCCTCCAGCTGAGCGCTGGCCAGACGCACCCGAGAGCCCATCACATGCTGGGATTAACAGCTTGGGCTGCACCCTCCCGCTCAGCCTGCCCCGGGTGCCCTGCACCACCGGCCTCACATTAAAAGTGCTTTCTTTTGCCTTTTTGCTCTCCCCCTTCACCCCACCTGCAAGCACGGAGCTCACCTGGGTACTAACAGAACAGAAAAGAGGCAGCGCACAAAAACCCCAACATTTCATCCCACAAAACACAGGGTGAAGACATAAAAGAGCAGACAGGACAGCACCAATGACCCCAGGGAGGCCAGAGCCCCCCGCCTGCGGGCGCAGGGCAGCGTGCTGCCCCCGTCCCCGGGCTGCGCCACACACAATGCCGCGCTGCCTCCCTCCATTGTGCCTGTGCAGCTCCTCCGTGCACCCGCTGGGGCCGCAGCGGCCGGCCCCACACCGACATGCAGGTGCCTTTTGCTGGGCTCAGCACCGACGAGCGTGTGGCCACACTGGCCTCACAACCACCAGCAGCACAAAAGCAGGGGCAACACTCATGCAGCTGCAAGCCAAATACCCACAAAGGCTCCTCTCCTCAGCCACCACCTTTCTTTATAGCCTATTTTTACAGCAACTCCCGTAAAGTTACATCACATCGGGGATGATCCAGACCTACAAATCAGCTTACAAAGACCTGTGTTAAAGGCAGGTCTGGCTCATCCCTGCACTTGGACAAGCTGCAGCTGGGAGGGCAGCCTGGAGCCTTGTCCCATCTGCCCGGCCGCTCAATCAGCCCAAAAAGAAGCTGTGTTTCTCCAGCTCCTCTCATTGCTTTGTTCAGCTTTCCAGCCTGGCCGTCCTCCTGTCCCGCATCCTTTCACTTGTCACACAACCCAGGAGCTCGGCCTCCCAGCACCCTTCCACCAGCTTCTCTCCCTGCCTTCCCCACCTCCATCCTGACTCACAGCCTACAACATAAATAAACTCGGCACGTAAGTAAACAGAGGCAAAAGTGAAGAGCACAAATAAACTCAAAAATAAACCGCCCACCCCTTGCTCCAAGAGATCAGCATACCCTCCCCTCCGCTGTCTCCCTGGGGCATCTGAACCTCCGTCCCTCCCCTCCCCTCACACACCCCCACCACCGCTTCCTGGCTAGTGCAGACACCCACAGCGAATTCTGAGGACAGGGGACGGCAGGAGACCAGGAGGTTGATGGTAGATAATAAGCAAAAACAATAATCTACTGTCTTTTACTTCTCAGCCAGTGTCATTCAGCTCCTGCCAATAAGATGCTTTCATACTCAGCAATGCTAAGCTCAGCCTCATTTTCTCATTACCCTGAGTGTGATCAACTGGGCAGAGATAACGTGTCCTCCTGGCTGGAGGGAGCAGGCAGTCATTGCACAAATTCTTCTGCACAACCAGCTATTGTTGCAGGTAGAGGGAGGCCGGGGCAGCCCACTGCAGGGGCAGCCCTGGGACCGTGCAGAGGGGAGCGAGTTCAGTGCCAGACTCAAGTTACTCAAACTGGACTGCTCCTCGGTGCCTGAAGTCTTTCTAATTAAAGGAAAGGTGCTGGTACCTTGTTCCCTCCTTTCTGGTGTTAAAACAAACAGCCCTGGAGGAGTTGTGTTTCAGTGTCACCCAATGACGTCATGGATCCCTTTGACAAACCTAGATACAAATCTGCTAAGATCATAAGAGCATTCAGAACTGCTCAGATTGTATCCAAAAAAAACAAAACCCTGAGACCAGGCTGCAGTGAGTGGAAGTCACTTGAGCTCAAACTGCTTTCACTTCACCCCACAAGACTCTGGGGAGGAGGCATCCCACTGATGTTGCAGGTGTACCAGCAAGCCAGCCAGGCTCCTCCATAACGCTCTTCAGGCCACCTACAGCACCATTTAATAGCTCAGAGCACGTAATTCCTGCGTTAACCCTGCTGGTGTCAGTGCCCCAAAGCAGGGGGAGCAGTGGGAAGGACCTGCAAGACCTCAGGACTGGGTCTGTTCATTCATCACACCTCCAGTCCCTTCATTCTGCTCATGCACTGTTCCCTGCACTACAAAAGATAAACCCAGCAAAAACTCAGCAACAAAGAACCACCAGGATGGCCCAGCGCTGCCAAGCCCGCTCTTCCCCAGCACATAAAGGAGCAGCTCAAGGCAATGGCCAGCTGCAGCTTTACAAAGTCACGCAAATCTTTTACCTTGAGCCTGCAAAGACAATTCTCACACCAAGCATTTTCACCAATAACCCTGTAGGCTCCTGTTATCTAGCTTACAAACAAAGAGAAGGCTGATAAGCACAAGGTTTCCCCAGAGAATCAGGCCAACAGCCCTCGCCAGGTTAGGAAGAACCAGAAAACAATGAAGCAACAAGTTGGGCAGACACTGTCTATCAAGCGCTGCCTGCCAGAAGGCACCAAGCCTGTAGAGAAGGCTGTCCTTTCAGGACACCGGCCTTTTCCTGCAAAGTTTTGGGAAACCCTAAATTAGGATTCAGATGAGTTTGTGTCATTTAACCCATGACTCGCAGCAGAGCCTTTCAGCTCAGTGTTTGGAAGCTCCCCGCGGTACCACAAGACCAACCTCTCACCAGGCAAAACACCACAAAACATCTGACCCGGACGAAAACCACGCTAATTACAAAATCAAAAGGAAGAGGGGGAGAGGATGGAAGTTCCTAACAAAGGAAGGACCCTCGCGAAACTGCCCCATTCTCTCTGGGGCAGCGGCAGGGCGAGCGGAGCAGACGCAGATGGGAATTTCAATGGCCGGTCCCCACGCGCCCTGCGCCACGAGGCCCGTCTGTTGCCCGGCAGCGCCCGGCCGGCCACCCTGCCCAGCCCTCCCCGCCTCATGGGCCACACAGTGGGCTGCAGTTCCGGCAGAAGAATGGAGCCCATGGGCTCCAGCCCGCTCCTGGCCCCAGAAACGCTTTGGGGATTAGTACTACAACGGACATCCATCACTTGCCTTTCCAAGAGGGGTCTATGCCAGCCCACAGACTCATGATGGGACTGGCTCAGCAGACACCGTGTTTACACAGGCTAGTGAAAAAAAAAAGAAAGAAAGAGAAAGAAAGAAAGCCCTGGGCCCTCCTCAAAAGACTTCACCATAACCCTCCCCCAGAGCAAAACTCACTTTACATCACTCCTGAAAGGAGGAGGGCTGTGAGTCCTGGGGACCCAGCCTGGGCCAGGAAGGCTGGGGTAGGTTTAACCGGGAGCTCCCGTGGGGAGGAAGGACCTGTGCACATCAAAGGGAGCGATCCAGGCAGTTAAACAGGAACAGACATAAATCTCACTGCAACTCACGCCGTAAACCCTAAGGAAGGGGGTCTCGCTCTCCCGCCCTCTCCCTTCTGCCAAGATAAAGGCTGGACACCCGAGCCACGCGCTGCAAGAAATGAAGTTGCTCATTTGGACTCCTCAGCAGCCCGTGCCAGGAGCCAGAACATATCCCCTCACCATGCCACCCCCCCGCGGCCCCCACCACTCCCCCATCCCTACCCTCACCTTCACCCCGGGGCAGCAATAAGGAAAAGGAATTCAGGGGCAGGCAAGTCACTAAAACTAAAGAGAAGGGACCTCCCACTCAGACACCTCACCCCCACCCCCAAAACAGCCTGCACATCTCCTGAGCGCCACAGATTTACAAGGCAGGACCGGGCATGATATGCCACCAACCCACAGAGCCACTAAAATCTCCCTGCTGGCCCAGCCGGGGCTCCCAATCAGCCCCCACTTGCAGAGCAAGGGCTGGAGTTGCAGCCACTCCAAGAGGCCAGTGGTAGCCCGCATGGGCGGGTGCTGGCCACATCGGAAACAATAAAGTCCTGAACCTCCATGACCGTTACAAAAACTTCACCAGCGGAAACCACAGCAGAGTCCTGGGGCAGCAGCACGAAGGGTCTCTGCCGGGGGCACAGGCCACCATGGCCAGGGGAAGCAGAGCCTGGGCTCTGAGGAGCAGCACCCCTGGGGAGGGAGCTGTGCTCAGCAGCACATGGGGGAAGGGGCGGCTCCCGTTCACGCAAACACAACCGCATCCATTTCCCACAGTGAACCCCAAAAACGCTCAGGTGTCCCAGCTCCGAGAGAGCCACGGTCACTCCTTGGAGGGGCAGGAGGAAAACTATCAGCGGTATACACAGACCCACATAAGCACATCGGCCCTGGGCCGGCAGCAAGCGCGGTTCGGGCGGCAGCCAGTACCCGCCGGTGAGCGGGACAGAGAAAGGACCAATTGATCCGTATCAGGAACCGACAGTTTACAACCTCTAACTAGAAATCAAACACCGCAATCAACGGCTGCTCCGAGCACAGCCGCTCCGCCGGCAAATGCACCCCTGAGATGAGAGAAGTCATCTCACCGTCTTGGAGTCCAGTTCGTGTCTGGATTGGGCCAGGACCTTGTCGACGCCAGCCTGGTCCATGAACGTGACGAACCCGAAGCCCCTGAGCCCCGCAGCCCGGGCAGGAGAGGGGATGCGGAGAGAAGAGAGAAAGTTGGTTAAAGTGGCGGCCGGGCCGCGGCGGGGGCGAAGGGAGGCGCGGGCCCGGCCTCTCACCTGGATCTCTTTGTCAGCGGGTCCCGCATCACCAGGCACTCCTTCACCTCGCCGAACTGGCTGAAGTACTCCCGCAAGCCCTCTGCAAGCACAGCGCCCACCGTGGGTGTCGCGGCCCGGCCCCGCCGCCCCCACCGGGCTCGGCCCGGCCCCGGCCCCGCCACCCCCGGCCCCGGCGGCAGGTGCGGGTCCGCCGCGGCGCTCACCTTGCGTGGTCTGCCAGCTCAGTCCCCCGATGAACATCTTGCTGCGGGAGGAATGGGAGAGCCGTGAGCGGGGCCGCGCCGGGGGGCCGCGGCGCCCCGCGGGGGTGGCGGCGGCGGCGGCAGCGGCGGGGCCGGGCGGGGAGGGGAGGGCGCGGATCGGCCATGTTGGCAGCGGCACCGCCGCCGCCGCGGCTGCCCGGGCCGGGCGGCTGTGTCCGGGGGGAGGGGGCGGCCAAGGCCGGGGCCTGAGGGGAGGAGGGAGAAGGTTGGGGGGGAAGGCGGTGGGGGCGGCCGCCGCGGCGGTACCAGGGGTCGTGCGGGGAGTCCGGGGAGGCGAGGCCGGGCTGGCTGCCGTCTGTCTCCATTCGGACCTCTTCTCCCTGCGAGGAGCGGCGCCGCACTCCCGGGGCAGATGAGCGCTGGAAAAGGGGCCGGACGGACAGGCCATGCTGCCCCCTCCCCCGACCCCTCTCCGCCGGGCGGGGAGGGAGCGAGGGAGGAGGGCCCGGCGGGCACAACCTGCCCGGCTCCTCCCACCCCCGCCGGCCCGCCGGCCGCCCTGCGCATAAAACCCGCCGGCGGCGCCGGGGCCGAGCGCCGGGAGCCGCGCCCGCACCGCGTTGGGGGAGCGCGCCCGGGCACG